CAAAAATTGATCCTTGCGGAACTCCTGTAGATATTGATATTGTCCTTTTGTGTTTGATCTATGATTACCAATTTTAACAATTTGCGTTCTTTTGTATAAGTAGTTTTCAAACCATTTAAGACAATTTCCTCTTATACCATAATGTTCAAGTTTTTTTAAAAGAATTTCGTGGTTTACTGTATCAAAAGCCTTAGATAGATCAAGGAAAATACCGATTGTAAATTGACCTTCATCTATAGCTTTTGATATTTTGTCAGTTAATTCAATAATAAGCATGTTCAGTTGACCGATTTTTTCTGAAACCATATTGATGTTTAGATAAAATTTGTTTTTTCTCAATGTATGAAATCAGTCTTTTATACATCAGTTTTTCAAGCAATTTTGAAAAACATGAGAGAACCGATATTGGTCTATAATTTTCAAACAAATGTTTTTCATTTGCTTTAAAAATAGGGGTAACAAGTGCTATTTTTAACAAATCTGGGATTATTCCGTTTTGAATAGTTCAGTTGAAAATATGTGCAAGAGGTTTACTGATCTCGTGTTTTATTTTTTTACCACCTTGTGTTGATAACCTTGTGACATCCTTCTTATATCATGGCTGTAACAAACTTGTTAGCACAATCTTGTAACAAGGCTGATAATGCCATCAAGCTTGTTACAAGTTTGCTGTGTTGGTATAATGTACTCAGGTGAATAAGATGCTTGTGATGTTACTCTGAGTGTATATCCACACCGGGCAGGCTTGAAAAATCTGGTGATGCCTGGCCACGGTGCATGAGAATCGAACCTTACGACCTTTGGAAAGTAAGCCCAATGCTCTGCCAACTTTGTTACGCGGTCAGGTCGGTTCGAGTATGTAATATTTCAGAACTGAGTCTAGTTCCTTCGATATCAGTGTAATCTAATAATCGTGATATTTGCTGTGTTGGTGTAATGTACTCAGGTGAATAAGATGCTTGTGATGTTACTCTGAGTGTATATCCACACCGGGCAGGCTTCAAATATCATGACTATTAGATTACACTGATATCGAAGGAACTAGACTCAGTTCCGAAATATTACATACTCAAATCGATCTGATCGCGTAGCTCAGTTGGCAGAGCATTGGGCTAGTATTCCAAAGGTCGTAGGTTCGATTTCCACCGTGGCCAGGCATATTTTTCAAGCCTGCCCGGTGTGGATATACACTCAGAGTAACATTACAAGCATCTTGTTACAAGTTGTTAACAGCTTGTTACAAGTTGTTAACAGCTTGTTTCAAACTTGTTACAACAAACTGGGAACAAGCAGTGCGAGCACAACTTGTTGACAGCTTGTGAACAGACGTGTAACAACTTGTTTGCAGACTTGTTACAACTTGTGCGTTTTTACGTATGTAGACTGAGAACCACTCAATACTCAAAGAGAAAAAGCAAAACTATAAATGTTGAATATTTTAACGGACACCTCTCAAACCGGACACCTCTGTTACATACCTTCAGTCCAAATAATTTATTACCCCTCTTCAGCGCCTCTGTTAAGCGGAAGCGGACACTTATAGCTTGAGATCCTAATGAGTCGACGACTTTTTATCATTCGTGGTCACTAGTGTGTATATTTAGTCAAGATCCACGGTTCATGGAAGAGTGCAAGTAAACTATCAAAGTACCAGACAATTTGATATTCATTAAGTTCAACGCTCGAACTCTGAAAACTTGGAGTTATTTGTCATAGTTTGACAGTTACCTTTCACGCATAATTTAAGACTGAAACGCACGACTGATTTCATGCGTGATTAATTTAATTTCTTGCACACTATCGCGTCCCCTGAATGGGAGCGTAGCTCCAACCAGTGTTATTTCACAATATAAAACAAAAGTATTCAAGCTTGACTTCGCTTAGAAGTCTAGAAATATATTAAATGAGCAAACAAGAAAAACCAAAGTGTTCATACAGGTTGGCTTCGCTTTGAAGCCATGATAATCCCCATTATAAGCACCGGTAAAAAGTTTGTTCTGTAGTCAACCCCAACTAACTATATAAAAGTAACTTCACGCTTTTTATATCGTAACGATCTACCCACGCAATTCACCGTCCTTGATAAATTTGCATATCGAAACATGACACTCCTCGCCCAAGACCGAAGATTCACCGTCTTGATAAATTTGCATATCGAAACATGACACACACTCTTTCAAAATTGTTTAAAAATTAATGCTCTGGTACTTCGAAAATTCATCAAACACCTTCCATATTTGTACCTATGAATTCAAATTGCGTTTCAAACCTTCCATTTTTGCGCTCAAGCCATTCTTTAATAACTAGTTTTAGAAAACAGCCCTGCTGCACAGGAAAATTTACTGGCTTTCCAGAATTTTGTGATGGTGTCATGGAGATACAAGAAGTCCCAAAACTACCCACCCTAACATAAAGTTATCACAAATTTTGCGGAATTTTTAGTTTAGTGAACTTTTGGAACGGTGTACTTTTTTTATATACCTCTATATCAGTTACTATTTGATCGATAGCCATTTTAATTCGCGTAAAATGTAGTTGTTTGGTTGGAAAGACGAGGGCTGTAGGTATGCATGTATTATCTGGTATGGTATTGATACATTAATTTAAATGGTGATTCCAGCCGTATAGACCAGGCAAGAATTAAGGGCGAAATCTATCATTATACATCCTTAAATGAGTATAATTGCCAAATTTGGTTGCAAAATGTTGAAAATATGGAAATAGCCCTGTGAAATTAGCAAGTTTTGAGTGTTTTAGTATTACGCGCAGAAAAATGCCGAGCCGAAAAAGTGGTGCATTTTCCGCGCGTAATACTAAAATACCCAAAATTTGCTAATTTCACAGGGCTATTTCGCAACCAAACTTTACAATTTTATTAATTTTAGAATGCTCTTTTGAGCTATGATTTTAGATTTCGTCTTTCTTGTCTAGATATATAAAAATTAGTCGATAGCTGGAATATCCATTTGAACTAACTTTATCATCGCGCAATGGAACTCTCAGTGTAAAACGTATATCATTATCAGTACACAATATTTTGTAATTGTATACGTATAATATAATTATATAGCCATGTAAAAGTGTAATTCTTGGAAGCAACGCCGCGTGGAATTCTTGGAAGCAACGTCGCGTGCAATTCTTGGAAGCAACGCCGCATGTAATTCTTGGAAGCAACGCCGCGTGTATTTCTTGGAAAAAACGTCGCTTCGAATTCCTGGAAAAAACGTCTCGTGTAATTCCTGGTAAAACGTCCGGTGTAATTCTTGGAAAAAATGTCGCGTTTAATTCTTGGTAAAAACGTCGCTTGAAAATGAAATAAATATGAACGACTGCATGTAGGGCGTTTGTCACCTGACATCCTAAATCATTTCCTAATTTAGAAAGCCAATGAGGAAACAGGACGTGTTCGTCTTATAACTGCGTGCTGGCCACGTGCTCTGGAACTTGTTGATTTGATGCCACGTGTCGTTGCCAGAAAGTATGGTTGCCTTGGCCATGTTGTATGATAGGTGAAAGTGAAACAATACTTACTATATTATTCACTAGTATTAGTATTTTATAGTATCGATATCCGCCTTTCATGTAGGCTACAGTTGACAATTGACTTAAAAGTGAAGCGTTATAACACAAAAGCAGACAAAATCACACGTTATAGTAGTCGCGAATTTATATATTTATTGTTCATAAACGTCTGGGCAGCTATAAACTTCCAAAGCCAAGGGGCCTTCAAACGAAGTCATGCAGTCGAAGATCAACTAGATTTGCTAGAAATTGAGGTCTAGAAAATTCGGACATATAGCTATAGTCCCGCTGTAGAAGATTTGGTAATTTAACAGGATCTCCTGCGGCAGATTACTGTAATGTCAAAAATTGCTGTTACGGCAGAAAAAGGATAAAAACGCTAATGGGGCAGATTTTGTGCCAGATAGACTGTAAAACAAGCTGCATAGTTAGCCTACTTGTGGAGACCAAAATGGAAACAATTATACAATCTATTGTCGCGTTACAATGGATTAAGTTAAACGCAATCACCTGTTATGGACGTATGGCTAAATTATGAGTAGATAGTGTCAAATAGTCAGCAATATTGGCTATTGCTGTAGGGTAAAGGCATAGCGCGTGGGTTTGCGGCAGACTCCTGCAACATCCGCAGCGTATTTTCCAATAGGGGCCAAGTGAACCTGTCCACCTATATTAACAATAAAAATATACGACACTTGACAACCAATTCTTCGGCTCTTATCGCTATTTAATATATTATAAAACTTTCGGCATGACACATACGGGGAGAAATTAAAATGTTATGCCTCAATAGCAACTGCTGAATTAAGCAAAATTCAGAGTTTCCGCTGCGCATCCAAATGGAACGCGTTCTGCGTTGGGATGCTAAATTAGTTGTGAGGTTTGTGACACAGGCGAAACGTGTGACTGAAAAAATTAGAAGATGTATAATCAATCGTGATTTGTGTTTCACTTCAACATAACTGTCCATTAAATAATATTTGGACTAGCATATTTTGTCTTCCGTTCAAGGCAAAATAAGGAAATGTACACTTAAAGGAATGCAGTGTGTATAAAAAATGTATAGCCTTTCAAATTTAACGAGCAAACGTTTTGCATATTCAAACCAGATGATTGCATGAACTTGGCAACTGAGTAAATACAGTAAATCGGACAATATAAAATAAGAACACTTTGGTATGCATCTTATTAATTGTTTGCAGTCTCAGCTGTGTGCAGGGTGTCTCAAAAAATATACCCTTTGAAATCAAGCTTTTGTTGGAATTTGAATGCCTTATTACTATACTCAACCAACGGGTGCGTAAAAAAGTATACCTAGTCTTGTTTAGTACAATTAAGTTTTTATGAATAAACCTATTCAGGTTAAGTACAAGATTTTCTACTCCTGAGAATTAAAAAAAACTTCTAATTGTATGAAAGAGCATGTAACTGCATAAAAAATTGTCAAATTACAAATTAGTCATGCCATTCAAATTCCAACAAAGGCTTGATTTCATAGACACCCTGTATATCATGATTGTTAACTGCAATTTATCCCGTGGTGCAAGCGGGGAGAACGCCTGACATTTCAGACTACACTGATGATTTACCCCGGACACAGAGCGGGTCATTTGGACGCGTTGTGGAAATTGGCTTATAATACGTTTTCCTTTCTGATTTTATACTGCCGCTTTTGATATTGACATTGTAAGCCAGGGGCGGCGGAACAGGGGGGGGGGGGCTAGGGGGGCTAAAGCCCCCCCAGAAGTAAAAGTGGGGGGGGGGCTTAGCCCCCCAGAAAATTTTGTTTTTTCTGGAAAAATTTAGATAATTAAGGAAAAATTTAGTGTATTTTTTGAAAATTTAGGTATAAAGGGAAAAATTTGCAATATTTTGTTTAAAAATTGTGTATGTCCGCAAAAATTTTTTGTTATAGGTCCGGCAAAAATTTTTTCATCCCTTTTCTTGTATATGTCCGGAAAAATTTTTGTACCCCTAAAATGGTACACTGACCGAATTTTTTTTGGCGAGGGGGGAGGGAATTTAGCCCCCCCAAAATGAAATCTGTTCCGCCGCCACTGTTGTAAGCTGATGTTTTATGAGAGCAACGTCACGTGCATGCATGTGCTTTTTATTTGGATTTATGTTGCAGGGCGGGGGGGGGGGGATGGGTTGCAAATCATGTAATGGCAAACCCTTAAAAAATTATAATGTCAAATTCATTACAATGTCTCTGACTTAAATACAGATTTCAATAATCTCTAAATAATTCTATTATTCATTGCAAACCTGCAGGAAACATAGCAGAAAACATAATTAGTGTGCTCCCCCCGGATTGTTTACTCTATTTATCTATTCATCTCGCTGATTTGAAAAATAGGACTAAATGTTTTTGCCTGTGTAACTTGGAAATATAGCTTCCTAGCTGTACCTCTTGTGACGAGTTGTAAAACGTTTGGTACGCTAGATAATGAGACTCGAGGCGGTGATATTGCCGCGATCCCATCAGTTGTTCACGGGCAATTTTAGGACGTACGAGAGGCCACTATAATCACCAATTTCTATATATGGACAATACGTGTCCTTTCCCGACAAAAACGAGAAACTGTTATGGCCTCTCTAACATGTCAGCAATACCACAGTAAATTTGTGGTGGTCAAGCAATATGGCCGCCATTGACATCATTTGCGCATAGAGGTTGACATATACAGTTCTTAGTTTTCAGATTAATCATCCGTCCGATCTATTGCAATTTTCACTCGTCAAAGTTGTTGAATAAACTATGCACAAAATGATACGCGCTTTTCAAAGCGAAATTTGCAATTTCAAACACAATTCGGTCTAGTAAAATTCAAAATTTCAAATAAATCCAGTGTAGTCCAGTCCGCATTTTACAATATGCCTGAAGATTATCCCTAACCAATCACAGACAGCGCAAATATAGTCACGTGATTAAAAGCAACTAATAAATGACACGCATTTGAATACCAACGCCTCTATATCGAGTCCTTTCCCTGCACTACAAGAGCTATACGCAGTCGCTTTCAAAGTTAGCATTTTGAAAACTTTTATAGCAGGGTAAGTTTGTGAGAAACTTTGTGTAATTTGTTAGAATTTTACATATATACTGGTTTGTTTGATAACGTTTTCAGTATATACGCAAGAAAACGGGCGTCTGAAGCAAAAGTTACGCCTTTCAGCTGCTATGCCGCGGATTTGTACGTTTTACATGTATGGTGATTTGTGGCATAGTGATGTTATATAGAGTATAGATATATGTGGACCTGCAGTTAGGCAATTTCTGGTTGCAATCGTACCGCGGGCCAAAGCGCAATTCATATACAACGATTGCTTTATAAAGTGCATCAACATGATCGAGGAATGTGTGTCTAAAATATTTTAAGAAAGTAGCCACATATGCCGTAGTTTTAGATAAAACTGTAATCTTGCCATGTAACCAAAATTGTCTTCGGTCTAAAGCTAATCACTGTGTATATGCTATATTTACGTAAAGTTCTAAGCGTTGATATAGCAGAATTAATGAAGTATAAATATAGGACCGCCGCCGTAAGGTATAGCGCGTTCTAGATATAGATAGATAGGTAGTTTGTTATGATAAAAAGAGCTTTCTTGTTCTTAAAAACCATTTTTCAGTTGTCCAGAAAATAGTCTAACTGATGAAGTAAACCGCCCACATGCATCATGGCCGGCGCGTTGGCTGTTTGGGTTGACAAACAAGTTCAAAGCGAAAGTGTCAACTGTAAAAAGCCATAGTTTTGTTATGGAGTAAAAGGATGGACAGATAGGTAGTTTATTATTATAAAAGAACTTCATTATTGTTAAAAAAAATTTTTGTCCCAGTTAGAGTAGTCAAACTCATGAAGTAGACCGATCATGCATATCATGGGTATATTGCATGCATTAGCTGTTTGGGCCGCTTGAAAAGTTCAAAGGCGACAGTGTCAACTGTAAAAATTAACATAGTTTTGTTATAGAATGATAGGATAGACAAATAGATAGTTTATTATATTATAAAACAATTGTCTCATTCTTAAAAGAATCTTTTTTGTCCCAAATTAGTCCAATTCGTAAGTTAAACCGCCTAGATAGCTAGCGCGCATGCATTGGCTCAGTTTTGGTTGAAAAGTTCAAAGCGTGGGAAGCTATATAGAGTATAGATGCGTTATAGAGAGATAGAGATAAATAAATAGGTGTTTTGTTATTATAAAAACAACTATTAACCTCGTTCTTAAAAAAAATCATTTCTTGTTCCGAAATAGTCCAACAAATCATGAATTAAACAGCCTATAAATGGCTCGCGCATTCGCTGTTTGGGTTTGCAAGTTCAAAGCGAAAGTGGCAATTATGGGAAGCTAAGTAGCTGCGTTATAGGAAAATAGACATGCATAAATAGGTAGTTACTATTATAAAACAACTGTCTCGGTTTTCAAAATTAATCTCTTGTCCCGGAATATATTGTCTAATGCGTGAATAAAATAGCCTACATCGCTAGCGCATTGACTAGATTATTTGGGTTTGCAAGTTCAAAGCGAAAGTGTCAACTATGGGAAGCTATGTCGGATCCGCGTTATAGAGAGATAAAGATGAATAAATTGGGAGTTTATTATTATAAAAGAACCACTAACATCGTTCTTAAAAAATCATTTAATTTTTCTCAGTTCCGAAATAGTCCAATCAAGAATATTCATGAATTAGACAGCCTATAAATGGCCAGCGTATTGGACCATGCATGATGGCTGTTTGGATTCGCAAGTTCAAAGCGAAAGTGACAACTATGGAAAGCTATAGCTGCGTTATAGGGAGATATAGATGCAGAAATAGGGAATTTATTATTATAAAAGAACTGTATCGTTCTTAAAAAGTCATATTTTGTCCAAAAATAGTAAAATAAATCATGAATAAAACAGCCTAGATGGTTAGCGCATTCATTCCAACATGGCTAGATGGCAGTTTGGGTCTACAAGTTGAAAGCGAAAGTGTCAACTATGAAAAACTATAGCTACGTTATAGATAGATAGAGATGGATAAATGGATAGGTTTACTATTATAAAACAACTGACTCGTTGCTAAAAAACTTTTTTGCTCTAGAATTGTCTAATTCGTGAATAAAATAGCCTACATTGCCAGCGCATTGTTGAAGGATTATGTATAGATTTGCAAGTTGAAAGCGAAAGTGCCAACTATGGGAGCTATAGCTGCGTTATAGATAGACTGAGATGGATAAATTGATAATAGTTTACTATTATAAAACAACTGCTTCGTTAAAATTTTTTGTCTTACAGAATTATCTAATTCGTGAATAAAGTCACCTATAGACATCGCTATAGCGCATTAAAGCCTAAAGGATTATTTGGATTTGCAGCTCAAAGCGAAAGTGTCAACTATGTTTATGGGAAGTCATGCAGGCTGCGTTATAGAGAGATCGAAATGGATAAATAGGGAGTTTGTTATTATAAAAAACTACTAACCTCGATCTTTAAGAAATCATTTTTCGTTTTGAAAATAGTCCAATAATTCATGATGATTAAACAGCCTTGATGGTTAGCGCATTGGCTGTTTGGGCATGCAAGTTCGAAGCGAAAGTTTTAACTATGGCAAGTCATAGCCGTTAACTTATAGAGAGATATTAGGGATGCATGAATAAGTAGTTTATTATATTATAAAAGAAGTACTAACCTCATTCTTTAAAAAATTCTTTTTCCGTCCGAAATAATCCAATAATGGCTAGCGCATTAGCCGTTTGGGTTTGCAAGTTCAAAGCGAAAGTGTCAATTATGGGAAGCTAGCTATATAGCTGCGTGGTTACAATTATAAAACAACTCTCTAATTGTTCTTTTAAAAAATCATTTTTGTCCAGAAATAGTCTAATTCGTGAATTAAACAGCCTAGATGGAGTAGATGGCTAGCTCAATGGCTGTTTGGGTTTGCAAGCTCAAAGCGAAAGTGCCAACTATGGGAAGCCATGCAGGCTGCGTTCTAGAGAGATAGGGATGTAGGGTAAATTATAAAAGAACTATACTAACCTCGTTCTTAAAAAAAATCTTGTTTGTTCTGAAATACTCCAATAATTCATGAATTAAACCGGCCTAGATGGCTAGCTCGCAAGTTCGAAGCGTAAGTGTCAACTGTGAAAAGCGCTAGCCATAAGTCATAACTGTTTAAAATGATCAAATAGCGTTTCGATTGTTGCTTTTCTGATTCTATGGAGTGCTAAGAATATACGTTTCACTTTTAGCATTATGTGCCTTCAGTGCTGAATTGAAGGATCTGTGCATCTAAATAAATGCGCTGCAATGTCATCCGCAGTACATTGTTAAAACGAAACGGCTCTTGGCAAATTCCGCATATGTCTGAGTCGTCTCTCCTATTTAGTTCTATAAGATCGTTTTTAGGATCGTTTAAACATCTTACGCCGTTACGCGTAGTCGCGTAAGTTCAAGGTTCTGTTGACTACAGTTTTTTTGTATAGTTTACTACAGCTGCAGCTACATCCCGCACTTCGAAAAAGTGTACTCAGCTAGTGCAATTATACTGCGGAGCCACTGTTTAAAAAAATGTAGCGAACTATTCGCTGCTACTTCGCTACAACAAAATTTCCTACTGTTCTTTTAATTTGTAATTTGAATGGCATGAAACTCATGAAAGCTGATAAATAAATCTAAAGCGGCAAAGACCATATACGTATAGGCAATTATGCATATACCAGACGGCCTTAAACTCTGAGTTTCTTGGGGAAGAACTATATAAGATGGCAAAAATTTGGATGTTGTGGTAGTAAGATTTGATGTGATACAATGTTCTATTTACGAGTGCAGTCGATTGCAGAGAAATGTACAAAGACAAAGTAGCCAACAGCGGTTGTTGCTTGAAACTGTTAATTGCTTAATTATAAAAAGTTCATTACTACTCTCCCTTGGTATATAGTATCTGCATGTCTTTGTGTTGAGGAAGACAAAAATTTTAGCCGGAATGAACAGATTGATTTGCCGTTGATAAAATGTCGAGTGTCGCAGATAAAATGTCGAGTGTCGTTGATAAATTAATGTCGACTGTCGTGGACAAAATGTCGAGTGTCGTGACCCGTGAAAGAACTAATATCTCGCCAGCTTTTTGTAATTGGTTTTCAATAACGTCAAGCGTTTTGTGACAGGGGGTAGAACAAGAAATGAATATCCGCGCGTAAAAAGTCCTATAACTGCATGTGTACATGTTATACTTGCAATTTTTTCTGCGAGTTTATTTTTAAGTGCGAATTTTTTCTTCTGGTACATGTGAACGAGTGGATGACTTGTGAATGTTCCAATGAGACAGCCTCGTCCGCAAATCAAAGCGCCTGGGGACGAGGCTGCCGATGAGACTAAATGTATTCAGAACATTCATAACTTATCTACTCGTTCACATCCATCAGAAAAAGAAAATACACTAGAAATCGCAGCAAAAATTGTGAATGGGTATTAAGGACATCTTCATCGTAGAGTTCCGAAAACGAGCTTTTCGGCCAATAACTTATTTCTTTCGTCGAATCAAGTACATGAACATAGTATAGACATTCTTTACTCGGTAATAACCAAGTTCAATATTCCAAAATGGACAAGCACAATAAATCGTTTGCAAAAACTGGAGTTAGAATATGGTAATTTGGATAATTGAATTTTCAAAAAAATAACTTTAAAAAGGAGGTTAAAAAATCTGTTTCATGCAAAGACATGTAGATATTATGTAGATATTTTAACAATTATTAAAAAATTGATAGTTAAGAAAAAGTCTTCATAAGATGTTTGACTTAATTTACTTGTATGTTTTCTTGTATATAACTTGATATGTCGAGGTATTGCAATTTATTGTGTCAACCATTTAGAAAATGTGAGACTTATTTTTGTTTGTTATTAATCATATATACCTACACCACATCACATCAGCAAGAATCAATAATTCTACAATATTTTATTGTATGGCATCGTATTGTATTGTATTACATTGCATTGTATTATGACTTTGTTTTGTATCGTGTCGTGTTGTATTGTGTTATGTTGTTTTGTATTTTACTGTGTTGCAATGTTGTGTCTTATTTCATGCTTTTTTATGGTTTCTATTCTATGATATTGTACTCTTTTTTAAAAAAAATCTTGCATTCCAACGTATATTGTTCACTATTTGAATTTTTTCTCTGATTTAGTTTAGATAAACATTCACAATAATGTTGAACAAAATTTTACTCGCTCTGGGAGCTGTGGTCGCTATCTCAGCTTTGGGTAAGAAAATTTTGAATGATTTTTTTGGAGGATATTACATGAAACCAAGCCGAACGCTAGGTCCTATATATGCATGTACTAGATAAAACATGATTATCGCACTTAAAAAAATGACCCATCTTATGAGTTCATTGGCGAAGTAATTTTAAAAATAAACATCGTCTAAGCCAAGAAAATCAAAGCTGAAGCTTATGTAAATCAGGACAAATCTTTATCTGATTTACAAACATTGATTAAACATTCGTTTCTTTTGTATTTTCCTCGTGAATTATTAATGAATTTTTTAAATCTAGTATACATATATATACATATATACATATATACATATATATATATATATATATATACATATATATATATATATATATATATATATATATATATATATATATATATATATATATATATATATATATATATATATAATTTGTTATCTTAAAATGTTTCCATTTCTCGCTACTTTAAGTTTCATGCCACTATTTGTGGCAATCTTCAGGCGATTAAATTTAGTTCGTTATAATGGCGTGATCTATAGTTGCAATTAATGAGTCCAAAATTGATAATCAGATTTCAAATAATGAGATACATATTGATGGTTTTAATATAATTCGTAAAGATCGAAATAGGTTTGGTGGTGGTGTGGTTCTATATGTTCGCCAAAACATATCATTCTCAGATAGAATAGATCTAATCCCTGATGAACTTGAGATGGTCTGCATTGAATTAAGTTTACCCTACTATAAATCACTGCTAATAAGCACGTGGTATAGACCACCAAATTCTCTTATGAATATATTTGATTACTGGGCAAGCTTTTTAGCAAAATGTGATAATGAAGATAAGGAGCTAATCCTCATAGGAGATCTAAATTGTGATGTCAGTAAAACTATACCTGACCCTCACACATGTAAGTTGCAATTTTTATGTTCTCTGTATCAGATAGACCAACTTATTAAAGAATCTACAAGGCTAACTCCTAAATCAGCTACACTAATTGATTTAATATTAACAAATAGACCAGAAAATATTTCCAGATCAGGTGTCATTCACCTGGGAATTTCAGATCACAGCCTTGTCTACGCTGTGAGAAAATTTACACTACCGAATGGAAGGCAAAAAATTCGTCAGGTTCGTAACTTTAAAAACTTTGTCGAAAATGATTTCATTCGGGATGTGTCTCAATTGCCTTGGGAGATGGTCTATCAGTTTGGAGATCCCAATTTATGTTGGCAAGTCTGGAAATCACTATTATTAGATGCACTTAATAGACATGCCCCTCTGCGCCACAAGCGAATAAGGAATAACCCTGTCCCATGGATTAATCCTCAAATTAAAGAACTTATGAGAAAAAGGGACTATCACAAAAGAAAGGCCATAAAATATGATTCGGAGTCACAGTGGGAATTGTATAAAACACTACGTAATGAAGTAAATATAAACATGCGGAAAGCAAAATCTAAGTACTTTTGTGATAAAATCCAGGCAAGCTCTCAAATGGGAGACAGTAAAAGTGGATGGGCTTGGATAAATTCGCTCTTAGGAAGAAAGCATAAGAATGCAAATATTAATGAACTGAAAGTAAATGATGATATTATTTCTGATGATAAATCTATTACTGAAACATTAAATGAATATTTTATAAATATTGGAATGAAGATGGCTGCTGAATCAGCATGTCAAAACACTGATGCTTTAAATGATCAAGTAATTTATGAAAGTACTGTGCTTCTTCCTAAAGAAAATTTTCACTTCGCAGATATTACTATAGATAGTGTTTCCAAACGCCTACAAAAACTAAATGTCTCAAAAGCGACAGGTATGGATGGAATACCTGCGAATATTTTAAAACTGACATCAACCCTTATTGCTCCATCTATAACTTTTATATTTAACCTATCGATTAGAACTGGTATTTATATAGATGAGTGGAAATTGGCTAGAGTTATACCAATTTACAAATCTGAGGATAAGCGTAAATGCGAAAATTATAGACCAATTTCAATTCTTCCCATAATAAGTAAAATATTTGAAGGGGAAGTTTTTACTCAAATATATAGCTTTTTGAATAAACATGCGCTTCTGTCTAAATTTCAATCCGGGTTTAGACCAAAACATGGAACCTTAGGTGCTCTTATACAAATGTGTGATCAATGGCTACAAGACATGGATGAAGGCAAAATAAATGGAGTTGTTTTCCTTGATATATGTAAAGCATTTGACTCGGTGAATCACGAGATATTATTGGAGAAGCTTAAAACCCAGTTTGGAATTCACGACATTGAATTAAAATGGTTCCAATCATACTTAAGGAATAGAAAGCAAGTGTGTTCTGTTAATGATCAAACTTCTTCTGCAAGAACAATAATATGCGGAATTCCGCAAGGATCCATATTTGGTCCATTATTGTTTTTGCTATATATTAATGATATGCCTGATATTCTAGAAAGGACAACCCCATGTCTTTATGCCGACGACACTCAGATATCTTCCTCTTCGCATGATTACGATACATTGATTGACAATTTGAATATGGACCTTCCCAGTATTCATAAATGGCTTGCTAAAAACAAACTAAAATATCATAGGAAAAAAACAAAAGTCATGTTTATTGGATCTACGCATAATCTAAATCATAAAATAGGAAATAGAGCCGTTGAGATTAACAAAATCCCAGTCCCACAAACCAATACATTTAAATGTCTAGGTGTAAATCTAGATGAAAAAATAAGTTGGGAGAAACATATTGATTCTGTATGCCATAAGATTAGCGCTGGAATAGGAGCAATTAAAAGAATAAAACCTTATGTTCCACACAAAACCTTACATGATGTCTACAAAACATTAATTCAGCCTCATTTTGATTACTGTTCTCCCCTGTGGGATAACTGTGGTTTGGGACTTCAAGACAAATTGCCGCAAAAATTCCAAAATCGAGCAGCAAGGGTGATTACCGGAGCTGACTACGATGTAAGATCGTCTGAAGTCCTAAACAAATTAGGCTGGGAAACCCTGGCTAGGAGACGAGAACAAAACAAGCTAGTATTGATGTATAAAGTCTTGGGGAACCACACTGCGCCAAACCTTAAAGATCTTTTTCCTCGGAGAAATGCATCGCAGAATATTTATGATTTACGCAATAGCGAAACTGATCTCTCGTTAAAAAAACCGAAAACGGAATTTCTAAAGAAAACATTTGGATACAGTGGAGCAATTCTATGGAATAGTCTGCCGCAAGATGTCA